TTTAACCTCCTGTCTGTAAGCAGACTCGTCACCATCCTGTATGAGTCCGATTTGCATAACGCCGCCCAAATGTTCACTCAGAGAAAGAAGGCGTAACTTTTATTCTCGCTGTAGTATTGTTGCCGCTGCCGCCATGTCGTGAAGAGCTGTGTGTTTCGTTGTGAAAGCGTAACTACTTTGTTTGGTCTTCCAAAAGAGGACGATATCTGCTTCGTCATTCCTAGAGCTGATCCGTGCTGATCACTGAGGAAATACAACAACTTAGGTGTGGCTGTCTCTTAACTTTTATAAAGATTATCTCTTTGGATTTGAGACTTTAGTCTTTGCAACTTTACAGATCTTCTTTATGCACCAAGAGCTTGTAACACTCCAAAGAGAAAGGAAAAATTTAAATCGCATCATATGACCCCTTTAACTATTTCTGGGTGTTCTGGGTGGTTACTAGTGTTAGGAATAGTTTTTTTTATCATTCATGTGCACAAAATTACAATTAACCTAAAACCTCCATCCCAGCTGTGCTAAATGGCCCTCATTTCATTATTATCTGTCATTCACTTTCTCTGTCTTGTGTATCTTTTGTTGCTTAGACATTGACATGAATATAATCTAAGCTGAAGCCATTTGTGTGCTTGGGAATTGAGAGCCCAGTGCAGTTGTACAGGTTTATCACTGTCACTGTTTTCTCTTCTAATCGAGCATGTGTACGTGTGTGTTCTCTTGCAGGCGGAGATCGTGAAGCGACTCAGTGCTATCTGTGCTCAAATCATCCCTTTCCTCTCTCAGGAGGTACGCTGACAGTGATTGACAGCTCATCAGGGTTCTGGGGTCTTCTCCCACAGGCGTACACACACACACACACACACATTCTCTCCCCCCTCCCCGTCAAACTGATCCACTCTCCACCAAATAATGTTCTTTTTAGCAGCATCATATGACCCCTTTAATGTTTTCAGCGTTACTCATAGTAACTGCATTTTTACTAGTAACAATTCCATTAGAGAGTAATGTTGTCAAAAGTAGAGAGCACGATACCATTCGGGACTGAAGTTTTTAAAAACTTAAATTTCCCGCTAACATTTGAGTGCTGTTGAAAAAACACTGGGTTAAAAATAACCCAATATGGGTTGTTTTTACCCAAGGGCTGGGTAAATGTAGGACAGAACACATTTGGGGTTAATTTTACCCAGCAAATTGGGTTGTTTATTTAACCCATCATAATGGGTTGATTCATTTTTATTATAATACAAGCTTATTTTTTACTTGAAATATATACATAAATACCTAACATACATGCATAGTATATTCATGAAATAATGTTTACAGATTAACTTAAATCATCTAAACTTTTGTAACATACTCCACAACCACTGGTTTGCATGATAACTTCCTTTATTTTCCTTTATTTATCATTTTACAGCATTGTTCGTCGTTTTTATGTAGGCTATACATATTGCCTATTTCAACTCGTTTAACAAACATTAGAAGTAAAAATTAAACATTAAACAGAACTTGTAATCAACCACTCTCTGTTATTCTGTTGCGTTTCACTCATCGCCGAAATACTCTCTCCAAATCAGTTCTTACCAGTGTAACCCTTCCGGTCCACACCGCCAACGTCATGCAGATGTGTACTTACGTCATCCCAAAAGTTCCCAAGGATTTATAAATCCAGAGAAATTCCTATTTTAAATAATGGCTCGTCCCTGGTCATTGTCGCCTATCAATGACGTAATATCCGTACTATCCTCAGTTTCCGCTTGTAGGCATTAAAAAAATTGCTGCTGTACAGTTAAACCAAATCCATTTCGGCTGTTGCGAATAAAATGAAAATGAAATGAAAAGTATTGCCTGCAGCATTAAAATTGCGTCTGCTCAATGTTGCACCACGATTCATTTTACGCATATTTACAGTGTTGTGCATTATAACCAATCACACACGAGTCTGTTGAGCTTATGAATGCAATGGCCAATCAGAGGCGTTCAGATGAGTCATCCCTGAAACGACAGTGTTTTGTTCAGATTGACTGACTGAATTCTGCTCTCGCGCAAATTCTCTCATCATAAACAACAAAGTGCAGATGTACGTATCATGTAAGTAAGAGATTCATTCATCAAACAGTTTATAGACAGCGTTATTGATTGTAAGGGGAGTTTTTTTTAGATTATTTAAACTCGCGCTAGACTGAAGTTAATCATAATGTGTTTTGCTCGCTTTCTCTGTTAATTTATTTGCTGTTTGAATAACTGTGAAAGGCACAAGTAATAAATAAATACAAATAATTCATTACCTCATCTGTGAACATGATTCATAAATGGTGAAAACGACATCTCCTATCGTTCCACATCAAGCTTCTCCTTTGAAAATGCGACCTCTAGTGGTGAAAACTTACATATTATGCCTTTAATTCTTACAAATAACAATTGTGATTATAGAACTCTCTAATAATTGTTACTAGTAAAAATGCAATTATGATGAGTAACGCTGGGTGAATGCTAACATGGCTTGCCATACTGCATTTTCACTAGCAGCAATTTAATGAGAGAGCTCTAATTTACTTTGACAGTGCTGGTTTTTGGTGTCCTGTCCCCGACAGGAGTTGTTCCCAGAAATGTCCCCGTTTTACTGACTTTTAAAACACCACATAAAATGCACTGCAGAAAAGAAGGAACAACATAGCTTGCTGAGCAATCGTGTAGTGGTTATTTACACCAACAGAGGGGGCTGCCAGCTACACTGATTAGACAAGCATTAGCAGATCGATCTGATGACATATTGTTATCAAAAGGGACAGTGTTATTGGTCCCACTACGGTGGTCACATACTATTTATGTTAAATGAATAGTTCACCTAAAAATTTAAATCATTTACTTCATTTAGGCTGGTTACTGTCATCATTTAGCTACCCACCCTCCACTTCTTCTAAACGAGTTTTATTCTTTTATTCATTCTTTTATTTTGAAGAATGCTGGTACCAAAACAGTTTTGATATTCCATACTCCACATGTATTTTGTTATGTTTGTCAGGAGGCATCTCAAAATGTTTATCCCGTGTCTATGTATAAAGCTTATTTTTATTCCTTACCGTTCAAAAGCTGGGGGTCATTAAGATTTTAGTTAAGATTTTAAGTCAGTAAGCAACAAAAGATTTCAAATAAATACTGTTCTTTTAAACTTTCTGTATCGAAGAATCCTTGAAACAATCACAAAAAAATATGAAGCAGCACAACTGTTTTCAACATTGATAAAAATCAGAAATTTCTGAAGGATCATATGACACTGGAGGAATGATGCTGAAAATTCAGCTTTGATCACAGGAATAAATAAATATATATTCACATAGAAAACTGTTATTTTAAACTGTAATCATATTTCTCCAGTATTGGGGGGTAACGCATTACAAGTAACGCGAGTTATGTAATCAGATTACTTTTTCAAGTAACTAGTAAAGTAATGCATTACTTTTTAATTTACAAGAGAATATCTGAGTTACTTTTTCAGATAAGTAACGCCAGTTACCTTTTTTTTTTTCAATTTATTGACTGACAGCTCTCCTGTCCCCATGTTGAGAGAAATCAGAAGATGTTACTGTAGTTCTAAAATAAATATGAATATGCATTAATTCATCTCACTCACAAAAAAAACAAAACACACAGGTTCAGTATTGCTCAAAATGAATAAAAATAATGCAACTCAGAATATGACGCGAACCTGCAATAATTAAATGTTAAACAACACAAATATGCTTTATGTATTTAATCCCATTCTATTTGCTTCTGACCTTCGATGATTCAGTTCAACCGTACTAATAATCAAAATTACTCTAGATGAACATTTGTGTCTTTTTTTATTGCTGAAGTGTGTTGAAATGTCTTCTTCTGCATTCTACTGTACGGACATAAATGTACTTTCCCTTCAGCCTGAGGATTATTCATTTCACTTTTGGTGTGAAAAGGCTTTTATATTTGCCAAAAATATAACTTTTTTATTTTAAAAACAAACAAGCAAGCCCTGTCCAGATTTTAAAAAGTAAGGCGAAAGTAACGTTACACATTACTTTCCATAAAAAGTAACTAAGTAACGTAATTAGTTACTTTTTTTATGGAGTAACGCAATATTGTAACGCATTACTTTTAAAAGTAACTTTCCCCAACACTGTATTTCACAATATTACAGTTTTAATATTATATCTATTTTATTAGTTTTTTAAAACTATGTTTGTATAGCTGGTTGAACAAACTAACATGACTAAACAGTAGTTTTTGGATGTCAGCTCTGACACTGATATTCTGATTATTCATATTCAGACTGGCCAGTGATCAGCTTGTGTGCTTGGGGCTTTACTTCCATATTACAAACATTTACATTTACATTTAGCAGATGCTTTTATCCAAAGCGACTTTCGAAGTAGAAGCAATCAGACCAACGAGAGAGCAACAATACACAAGTGTTGTGACCAGTCTCAGTCTAGCACAGTGCACATAGCAAGGTGTTAAAAAAGACAATAGAATAGAATAGAATAGAATAGAATAGCATAGGTAAGTGTTAGTATTAATTGGTCAGGTGAACATATGACATTCACTGCCAACGAAACAGTTCCCATGTCGTCCCGTTTCAGCCAACAAAACACGAAATCAGAGGAACAAGTTATATGAGAACAGATATTCGTCAACACAGTCAGAAAGCCGAGGATGAGATGCAGGACAGTTTATTTACCTTGTCAACAGCTAGCACCAGATTCTCATTACACTGAGCTCCTGAGAGGCTTAACACAGTGTGAAGTTTCTCTTTGACACACTGACCTACCTTCGCTGAGAGACGCGTGTGCAAAAGCTACACTGAAGATGATATATTAACTCATGCAGGTAACCCAGGAAAACTTGCAATATTCTAATATATATATTGATATAGGCCTATATGATGTCTATAATAAAATAGAAGCACAACATAGAAATAAATGTGCATGCACATAGAACAGACAGCTGTAACGCATTGACTGATTCATTTACGTTTGTTGCTGAGGTTTGGGTTCTATAAGATATAGGCTATAGAGAGGAATACATGCACTGATTTGTAACCAATATGCCATACTGTATTTTGATGCTGTTTTTTAGTTACAGTATTCCTCAAGTAGGCTATTTACAGAATATATAATATGCCTCCACACACACACACACATTAGAATAGAATAGGTAAGTGTTAGTATTAACTGGTCAGGTGAACATATTCACTGCCAACGAAACAAGTTATATGAGAACAGATATTCGTCAACACAGTCAGAAAGCCGAGGATGAGATGCAGGACAGTTTATTTACCTTGTCAACAGCTAGCACCAGATACTCATTACACTGAGCTCCTGAGAGGCTTAACACAGTGTGAAGTTTCTCTTTGACACACTGACCTACCTTCGCTGAGAGACGCGTGTGCAAAAGCTACACTGAAGATGATATATTAACTCATGCAGGTAACCCAGGAAAACTTGCAATATTCTAATATATATATTGATATAGGCCTATATGATGTCTATAATAAAATAGAAGCACAACATAGAAATAAATGTGCATGCACATAGAACAGACAGCTGTAACGCATTGACTGATTCATTTACGTTTGTTGCTGAGGTTTGGGTTCTATAAGATATAGGCTATAGAGAGGAATACATGCACTGATTTGTAACCAATATGCCATACTGTATTTTGATGCTGTTTTTTAGTTACAGTATTCCTCAAGTAGGCTATTTACAGAATATATAATATGCCTCCACACACACACACACACACACACACAAAACGTATTGCACCATTAGAGAAAATGCTAAAATTAGTGAAAATGCTTATGTTGCATTCATGTCTGATTTAATACTGCAACAGTTTCATTACAAATTATAGTGTCAGCATAACAACTTGGTTAGGCTATTTTGTTTTTAATGACTGCAGCTTGAGCTGCATGAACTCCAAGATTGTGTAAAACCTGATGATCATGTTCTCCAGCATGATTCGAGAATCGTCCAAAAAGCATCATCTACTTCAGTGGAAGAAAAATAAAAAATACATCTTTTAACTTCACAGAGTAGGCTACAGTAAATGTCAGAAATTTTATTAGTAACTTAGAAATTTGCAACATTTTAACAACCTATATTATAATTTATTTATCTATATTTTCACTATGTCCTGTACTGTATACATAGCATGCCATGAATATACCGTTCAAAAGGTGTTTTGAATGTTTTTGAATGAAGTTTCTTCTGCTCACCGAGGCTGCATTTCTTTGATCAAAAATACAGTAAAAATAGTCATATTGTGCAAATATGATTACAATTTAAAATAGTTGTTTTCTATGTGCATATAGTGTAAAATGTAATTTATTTCTGCGATGTAAACCTGTATTTTCAGCATCATTACTCCAGTCTTCAGTGTCACATGATCTTCAGAAATCATTCTAATATGCTGATTTGCACTGTAAGAAATAAATCCATAAAATAGCAGCTCATTACACATGACATTATCCATTAATTTTACGGACATTTCTGTTAACTCTAAAACACAATGCAATGAAGTGTGAAATTCAAAATACTGTGTGATATTCAAAACACCTGTAAAAAAAATTATACGGAAAAATGCCTTCAAATTATACAGTATATTGTGCCCGATTTTTTTTTAGAGTGTGGTTCAAATGATTTTCGGGGCCACGGTAGTTTTGTCTCTGATTCCTGTGGTTTTCCACTGAACAGGATGAAAAGGGGACGATCAAAGTGTCAGAGCATCACCCCGTCTGAGGGCAGAAACAAGAGACACAGGAGTGTCACGCCAGCATATGTCCAGAGACCCACTGAAGAGATGTGGGGTGACCTGCCACACCACGTGGTCCTGCACATATTCCAGTACCTGTCTCTGGTGGACCGGGCTCGAGCCTCTTCTGTGTGTCACCGGTGGAACCACATCTTTCACATCCCAGACCTCTGGAGGAGATTTGAGTTTGAGCTGAACCAGCCGGCCACATCGTACCTGAGGTCCACACACCCAGATCTCATCCAGCAGATCATCAAACGACACGCTCAGCACCTGCAGTACGTCAGCTTCTGGGTTTAAAAACACTCTTAATAATAAATGTGCTTCACGATGCGATAGAAGAACCTTTTTGTCTAAATGGTTCCATAAAGAACCTTTAAGGATTTTAAAGTCTTTGTTAAAGAAAGGCTCACAACTGAAAAATAACTTTTATTTGAAGCAAAAAAATACAAAGATACAAGACTGTGTACTTCAAGATGCTGTAGGTATCTGTACTAAAGCATGGACATACCATAATATGTTTGCAGATATTTAGGAAACATGCTACGTTCACATTCTTGTTTCTTTGAAAAACAATGCTACAGCCAGTTATTCTACGTTGAAATGTGCGTTCCGTGTCAGAATGTCGGTTTTGTTTTGGTCTGTGTGACTCCGCCCACTGCCAGTTTAACCAATAGGATTTCGACACCCTGGGTTGCCAGTTGGTGGAAAACACAGCGTATTACAGCCATGGAAGCCAGCAAAGGAACTGTGGCGCTCATGTGAGTGGGCGTTCCCTGAGGTCTGATTGGTGGAGTTTTCTGTAGAGCATCATGGGTAATGTAGTTTTTCACTAGAAATTCAGCTGATAAACAATTATTTTAAATAATTGTGAACAGATGGCTTCAACAAAAGCATACACCAACCTCAAAGCTCACAGTAGGTCAGTCTTTGAAGCTTTATAAGCTGTTGTTAAAAATAATTTTCCCTATGGAGAAACTTGAGTTTTTACTTCCGGAATCCAACTATTATGCTCTATTCTTGTACTTTTGATTATGTCCTCATCTGAATGTTTTGAGAAAATGTCCCTGACCTGAACGGAGTGCACTAGACAAAGTGAAATGACGATTGAAGGATAATCGAGCCTCTAGGTGAGGGCACTGACTCTCTTGATCTTCCTGTGACGACAGAAAGTAGAAAGAAGCACACAAAAAGCAGAGCCAGCTGGAAGTCACATTATTGTGTGATTAATCCTGTAAATTCCCTCCATCAAGTCTGTAGTTAAATAAAGAAGTCAGGCGTTATTTGTTTTTGAATCTTTTGTGACTAAGTAAGCCACAACATGTCACTTTCAATACCGGTTATACTGCCGTGTTTCAAACTGTCAGGATTTTGTGGAGGGTGAAATTACACACTACAGCAAACACCACCGTTTGACACCCACACTGTGACCTTCTAGTATTTCTCAGCTAGCGACTGGGTTTAAAACAGATGTTTGAAGTCATATTCAGCTGGTGAGTGTCGTATGTTAAGAGTGAACAAGTTTCTGTAGTACCTGGGACACGTCCATGAAGCTCGGCCGTGCTGTGGAAATCAGACCCAGTGTTTTAATGGTGCAGTTCACCAGCTGTGAGAGGATATTACAGGCTGCTTCTGCAGATTCTGTGCAGCTGTCAACCTGAATGGTGCATGGGAAAAAAAATCACAATAATAGAATAGAAATAAAATAAATGGCTTCCATAGTATGGAAAAAAAATACTATGGAAGTCAATGGCTACCAGCAAATGTTTCGGTACCAATATTCTTCAAAATATTTTCTTTTGTGTTCAAGAGAAGAAACTAATACAGATTTGGAACAAATGGAGAGTGAGTAAATGATGGCAGAATTTTAATTTTTGGATGAACTATCCCTTTAAAATGACACTGTCCAACAGTTACACCAGAGGATAAAGTCCCAGAAGGAGCATCTGAATGGCTCAAAACTAGTGTTAATGAATGGACTTACCATTTAAACTAATCAAAATGAGCTTGAAATGTCTTAAAACACAAAATGATCTTTGAACGAGTCTGTTTTAGTCACTACTGAGCTCAGTTCAATTAAAGGTGCACAATAAACAATACACGAATCATGGTTTCAGTGTACTGCATTAATGTAGTTTTTTAAAGCAATGTAAAAACGCTCAATGAGATTATGTTTTCATAAATAGTATGCTTAATTATTAAATTTAATGATGCGTTTGTGGTTTTATGTTGATAGTTCTGGACATGTTTGAAAATGGACCAGCATGCCCACAATACAAACATCAGCATAGCAGGGTGACCTCTGTGAAATAATGAAATGACGCTTGATGTAAAGGGTATGAGAAGCCCGCGGCTCTGACTTTGCCTGTCTTGTCTGGTCTGTTCTCAGTCACACTTTGTCTCAGCTCTGACGGTGGTGTTTGTGAATTCCAAGTCTCTATCCTCTATAAAAATTGATGACACACCGGTTGATGACCCTTCCCTGAAGGTACTGGTGGCCAACAACAGTGACACTCTCAAGCTGCTGAAGATGAGTAGCTGTCCTCATGTGTCTCCTGCAGGTCAGTGCATCACCGTCTGAGTCTAATATGAACATATGAACTTGGTTTTAAGTCAACAAGAAATCCAAATTGACCCATTTACTTTTTAATATACACTCCTGGACTTATTGTGCATGAGTTTATTCATCAAATGCTCAAGCTGCTGAAGATGAGTAGCTGTCCTCATGTGTCTCCTGCAGGTCAGTGCATCACAATCTGTGTCTAATATGAACATATGAACTTGGTTTTAAGTCAACAAGAAATCCAAATTGACCCATTTACTTTTTAATATACACTCCTGGACTTATTGTGCATGAGTTTATTCATCAAATTAATTTATATGCAATGGAATATAAGCTAATATAAGTCATGCCACTGAGGTACATACTTTAAACTTGACCAAAATCAAACCTACACCACTGGTTGTTGATACTGATTTCATTTGATTGGGAACCGCCCTCCAGTGTCTTACTATTTAAATTTGATTAAAGGTGCAATAGGTGATTGTCTTCAAAAAATTTTTTTGTTATGCTGGTTGAAAGTCTCTTCACATCCCGATAGCAATCATTAAGTTAAGTGGTCTAAATGTATTTATCTGTATTTATATATTCTGTGGAAGGTGTAGGACCAAGAAATGTTCGTCCAATCAAAACGCTCGGTTTAATTAGCTTTCCTACCTGCCTGTCAACATATGTATTTGCATCCTCTGCGCACCCGGTTCGCGCAGACAAGATACGTCATCAGCGCATTCACGCACGCTGTGCAGACATAGCGAGGATGGCAGACAAACATCAACAAGCCGATCTTCCTTCATGGTATTGTAGTACTTTTAAAGTTTTCTCACCGTGAAAGACACATGATGTAGCCCAGCACTTCCCAATTCCAGTCCTCGCGCCCCCCGCTCTGCATATTTTGCATGTCTCGCCTAGTTAACACACCCGATTCAGATAACCAGCTTGTTAGAAGTGAGCTATGTGCATAAACTGTGTTCAGATCGATATGATCCCTACACAGTGTTCATTGCTCCCTACTGCCGCGAGGACTGGAATTGAGAACCGCTGATGTAGCCTATTGTAGTAATGTTGTCTCTGGTATTCTGGTCTGTGAGCGTATCTGCGTTCAGGGTGCGTGGCTTTGGATGGTGATTGCAGGGAGGGTGGGACGTTCGCTTTCAGTGCTATCAGGCTAAAGTTAGCATTTTCCAAGATCTCCTGCACCTTTAAATGTAAGAATTCAACACAAAAGATGATGCATACAATTAATTAGGTTAGAAAAATTGGCCTTATAAAGGTATAAAACCATTTAAACTTATAAGAAAAGTTAATTTCTGTTACTGCTGCAAACTAACCACCGCACAGAATATAAAGAATATCAAACGTTTTTTGGAGTCAGCTGTCCAGGGCAATCCTAAAATGGCAACATAATAATACACTCAGCACAACATCGGCTAATTACAGTTATTGACAAAATTCCAGAAAATATCTAGATATAATTTTTTTGTCAATATCACACACCCCTGTTGTCAAGTGTGTCAATTGGGACGGGTCCATAATTAAGGACTGAAACACACACTGCACCATTTACGGCTGTCCCAGACAAAAGATTGGCACCTTGAAACAATTGTGGCGATTTCTGTGATCGTAGCTCCTAATCGGTCCTGTGTTGTACAGTGAGAGAGGTTAAAGATGGCCGTTGTCACGGGGCCTTTCTCAATGTGCTTTCTTAAACGATCTTGCGTCCTCGTGTTCTCGCTCTACGTCATCATTAACCGTCGAAGTTAAATTCTAATACTCAAGAACGCAAGTACAGAGGACGCATGAAGTGCCCGGATGTGTTTCTTGATACCAAGGATGCATCGAATGCAGACTTGAGAGAATCGAACTGTTAGAAATCCCAGAAGACTTTAAACTTCTCATTCTCGCTTAAGAGATTCCCGCTGCAAGCTCGCAAATACGTGACGGGTCGTGAAAGTAAAAAATGTTTCTTTTGCATAATTTTAATTAAGTGATAAAGACCTGGAGAAGGCCTGTCATACTTTTTATTGGCATATTAAAAATAATTTTAACATTTAACATTTTAACAAAGAATGTGTCACAAAACATGTTGTAAATAAAAAGCTAAATAATATGAAAATATTGTTTGTAATTATATGAAATAAATGTTTTTAAAGGGTTATGACATTTGTTTGTGATGTTATGTGTTATTTATTGTGCATTGCATGCTCCTAATAAAGTACTGGCTCAAGCTCTTATGCCTTCTTCTTTTGCCGCTTTAGCGTTCACTTTTCACTGAGCTCATTAGCTCGTATACCTATTTAGCCGCAAAACTTGCTAATTAGCACATTATTAGTAAAGGCGATTTGCAAAGATTCATAAAAAAACCTTATACTCATTCTTCTGGAGGTGAAGCTGGATCACAAATGATTCGCGCAAACATAGATGCATTTAAGTAGATCGGGGGGTGCATTCCCTTCAAAAACAGTAATCCACTGCATCTTCAGCGGCTCAGATGTAAGGAGTAAATGACGATTGCCATGTTCATTATTACATCCAACAACAAAACACCTCAGTCGCTCAGGAGCCATTCTTCTCTACACTTTCTTTTCATCTGGCCTCTGAATGATGCATGTTAAAGTAGTGTTCATAAGCGCAGCTCTGCTTTGTTTACAGCGGTAAACACTGTATCATTGCTGTTCATGAGTGCCACCTGCTGGCAGAGAGTGAATCTGCACCTCACTCAGCTCGTCTACTGTTTCATTCAGATGTGTTTTATGTATAGTTTCACAAAACTGAAGTCAGACCATTCTGTTTTTGCTTCAAATATCAAAATTATACAATCTAATTTAGATTAAAAACTGCTCATGCTGCGCGTATGCAGCATCTTTGTTTGGATCGTGATTAAAATGCAGTGGTTGCCCTTATTCGTGTAACTTACTTATTTGATTTAAAATTTCAATTTAGTTTTGTTATATGTCAATTTCCCTAAGAAACGTGCAGCAATAGCCTAATAAAATAACACATTTTCATTTACTGTATAATGTCTTCAATCTCATTTTGTTAAAAAAAAAAAATCATGAGAAAATCTAATAGTGAAATCGTGAATCGTGAATCGTGAATTGTTACATCCCTATTGGGGATATAAAAAAAAAAAAGCGCTGGGTGGATTTTTATCATTATAGGGTGGCACACACTGCCAACACACATTTCAGTTCAAACAACATGTTAAACCCCGACTCTAGTCTGCAAAGCCACCGGAAGGCAAGTGTTCCCAATTTAGTTTTGTAGCTAGATTTAACGACTTCCCGAGACTTTTTTCGCAGCTCTATTCTGGAAAAGGGGGCGTGGAGCAGCAGCTAATTTGCATTTAAAGACACAGGCCTGAAAAACAGCGTGTTTCTGCTTCCACTCAAAATAGGCATTTTCAAAATGATATAATAAATGATCTGTGGAGTATTTTGAGCTGAAACTTCACAGACACATTCTGGGGACACCAGAGACTTATATTACCTATTGTAAAAAGAGGCATAATATGTCACCTTTAACACTGTTGCTGCAGGTTGTTTTTCATGTCAGTGGGTTGAAGCGACCCCAATAACGTAATATTTAGACCCTGGAATGTGAATTTTACCAGGGGAATTTTACCCCCTCAGAAACGCGATTGAGACAGTTTTGGGCTAGTTTTAAGTAGCAATTGGGTGGGTTTTGTTTTGAAAACATGGCAACCCTGACTCTAGACTACCTGTGTAAACATGCAGTCTGCGTTTGGCAGGCACGGCAGCCATTAGACAGAACGGGGTGATTAAAATATAGCATGGGAAACGGGACATCTGGATCATTAGTGTGGAGGAGCTGCTGTAGAAACATGATTTGTGATTGGATCTCAGAGAAGGGATTTGAATGCAAAGTGTTTACAGTTCCACACAAGTGCCCACACGTGAAACCGCGGTTCTTTATGGGAAGCTCATTGGCACAGATTGGCCATCTGGGACTTGTTAAAGAGCTCGTATTTTATGGCTTAACCTTCTTTTGTTGGCTGAACAGAATAGGGTTGGGTGATAAACGATATCATATCGAGATCATGGTAAAAATGTATGTTAATAATAATAAGCTCTGGACATTTGTATTCATTATGGATTAATCTAGCAGCAGTCAGTGCATGTGGCTATAAGCAAAGACTATAGAGCTATAAGTCTGCATGTTCTGCGTTTCTCTGTGTGAATGAATGGCGCGTTTTGTCTGATAAACAAACTCAAAGTCACTTCAGCCTCTTCATCTCGATATTTGAGGAGATGAACTTCATCTAAGAGCTGCTCTGAGAGCCAATTCAGCAGCTTTACAGCGATTCATTTGAGAAAAACTACAGTCAAATACACACTGAAACTAAAAAAGAAAAACCTTCGGACACCCCGTCAAAATTAAAGTCCGCCTTAACTTGAAAAAATTATGACAGAAATATATTACTATTGTATACCAAAATGTAATTCTCAAAATAATAATAATAACTTTAAGGAATATCCTACAACCAAGGTATTTTTCATTCATTTATTTAGTTCTGTTGTGCAGCATCTTGCTTGACAATAAAAATGCAATGTTTTGTTGTAAATTAATTTCATTTGATTGCATTTTAATTGATTGCATGATTAAACTGTTATGAATTAATTTCTTTGGACATCATTTTTTTTAATGATAAATTTGTATTGAATCATAAAACACAGAATCCAGAAAAATAAATAAAGAAATAAAATGGGAAATTAGAATTTAGGGGAAAACAATGGATTTTGATGCAGCCCTAAAAATTAAAACACAGCTCTGTGGAGTTTAACTGTGAACAAACAAGATATGTTTACGTTTATTCTCAAGGTCTGCCAAACATGTGGATAGTATTTCCTTCGCCATTAACAGTAACACTTTAACACTTAATTTCCAGCTATATCGTCAACTTGACTGCACAGATACTATTTGAACTGAATGGAGCTGAATCAATCACTGAATCAATGATGAACTGACTTTAACTGAAAATTGAGTGTTTACCGTTTTGCATT